GATGCATGCCCTGTGAGATGTTTCTTCCCTTCATGCTGGCAGTCAGAGGGCTCTCAGCATCTCCTGGCCACTTTCCAGAGCAGGAGCAATGCTAACCAGACAGACTCACGAACAGAAACCAGTGCCCACTCCTCTTCTTCAGTGTAGGTGCAAAGGTTGTTCTGGTCCTTCTCCTGTCAGACGGATTCCCCGCAGCTCAGTAGACACTCACAGCCAGATCCAGAACTCTGTGTGAAGTGAAACTGCAGCTGAGGGCAGACATGTTCATATTGAAAGTCTTGCTTCAACCTGCAGCAGATGGGGGCTAGTTCAGAGGTTTAAATCCCCTACATTCAGCAGTGTTCAGACTTTGGTTTGGGCCCATACTACACAAAAGGAAGAAAAATTCTGTGCTGAAGCACAGGAGTGAGAGATGGCAATGAACAGTTGATGTACCACATGTATCCTGTTAAAGCCCCTCTTCCCCAAATAGCCTTGCTCAAGCTGATGCTGAGTATGATTTACATGAAGTTGGCACTGCATCAGCTGCTGGAAAAGAGAGGAATAAAGCAACAGAGAGCTGAGCCTTGCCCTGTGGACTTCGGGACAGAAGAGCAGCAACTCTCAGCATCAACACATCCCTCAGGAGTCTGCTGGGTCATGTATGTCAGCAGGCAGCAAGGGACCTGAGGGATGTGTATATCCAGAAGAGGTGCTGATGAAATCTGAATACTTCACAGGGAAACAGCCCACCAACCAGTAGGAAATGCTGAGGAGAGGGTTGTAACATAAACATCTGCATCTCAAGGGCATTTGCAAGTGCCAAAGAGAAGTGCCCAAGAGAGCTGAATGGTGCCACTAGGACCTGGCAGCTGGTTTCTGCCTGGGAAGTGTAGGTGGGGAGCACTAGGACCCAGCCCTCACCTCTAAGCAACATTTACTTATCTTATGCCCCACACAACAGTTCAGGGGAATAAACCACAAAAATGTTTGTCCCCTTGCTGAACCTCCAAGTCTTTGTAATATTCTGCTTCTGGAGGCGTTCAAATCCTTTCTCACCAAAGATGAATGCAAAGTTGCATCATCCACAGTGCAACCAAATTCCCTGTTCCCTGGGGTAAAGACAGCAGCTCTCACATGCCTCTGCAGCCTCACTTTGCTGTTAGGCAGACTCAGCTGTTTTCTTAGGTATTTTGAATGTCCCTTGAGTGCAGGTGCTGCTGCAGAACAGAGGTTCTCACATCACAGTATCTCCACAATACTGAGGGCATCATCCTGCCCTCTGTCAGTTTGCATTTAGCACTTCCTCCCACTGAAAACCAAACCAGCCTCCCTAGACAGCTCAAAACATCTGGACCACGTACACCACAAATTCAGGTCAGAGATAACATGACTGGACAAAAAAAAAACCAACAAAAAATGAAACAACAAACAAGAGATTGCCCCATGACATCATTGTGCATCTGGTTTCTCCCTCAAATGGCCCATTGCAGTGGTTAAGCCCACCAAAGTTGCATTGCAGAAGCCTTTGAGCACAGGGATTAAGGTGACTCCACCGCCACCACATCTGTGCCCAGCACTCTAGGGCTGTCCATGCTGTGCAAGTCCCACAGAACAGCTAGAGGAGGAGGAGGAGGCCTTTCCTCTGGTGTCCTTGTGGCTCCCAAGGTTGTCAGTTAGGTGCAGAGCTCTGCAAGGTGCAGAGGGAATTAAACTCCCCAGTGTACATAATGAAGCTCCTGAAAAGCTATCCCTATAATTAGCTGTGTACACAGTGAACAGTCACTGGGGACACTGCTCTTACTCCCAGGCTTGTTTACAGAACCAGAGCTTCATTCATGTCCTGGTTTTTTCCCTCCAGCACTGAGGAAGAGTCACGTTGCTGTGCCCAATTCTTGCAGCTGTTGTGTTCACACAGGGCCAAGACATGTACCTCAGACACCTGTGCAGCAGGCCGGTCCCTCCACACCGTTTGGTCTGGACCACAGACATGCATGACACTGGAAACATCTACAATGCCAAGACTTCTCGCAGATGTCTCCACAGCAGATCTTCCCTCTTTACCATACTGCAGAGGAAGGAATATAACCCTTCCCAGGGAGGAACAAGCTATAGCCATAAAAAGCAGCAGTTTTCCAACTGAGGGAAAGCGAGCAGGATTCTTGGCAGGAGATACAACCCTGCACATTCTAGGACTAGTATAAAACCAGGAATGCAAAATCATCTGTATTGGTTCTGGCTGAGCTGTAGTTCATTTCCCCACGGTAGCCCTCAGTGCTGTGCTCTGCATTGGTAGCTAGAAGGGTGTTGATAACACACCGGTGTTTTGGCTACTGCTGAGCACAGCACCAACACAGTAACATTCCTTCTTTCGTTGAGGGCAAGATCCTGGGAGGGGACCCAAGTAGGCCAGCTGACCCAAACTGACCAAAGGGATATTCCATACCATATGACATCAGCTCAGACATAAAAGCTAAGGCACAGAGCAGGAAGGGGGACATTCATTGTCTAATGGCTGCCTGCTGAGAAACCGCCACACGTACTGAAGCCCTGCTTCTCGGGAGTGGCCGACCATCGCTGCTCATGGGAAGTAGAGAATAAACCCTGCTATCTTTCGCTTCTGCACGTGCAAACTTCGCTTTGCTTTTTGCTTTAAGTAAACTGTCTTATCTCAACCCACGAGTTGTTTCCTTTTTTCCACCTTACTCTCTCCCCTGTCCCTCTGGGAAGGGGAGTGATAGAGAGGCTGGGTGGGGCACCTGGTGTCCAGCCAAGGTCAACCCTCCACATCATCATACACCACTGACATGGGGATTCTGGAATGCAGGTGTGAGTTTGCTCTGCTTGGTCCCTGGGCCAGTGCAAAGTAAGCCATCTCTTATCCTCAAAGCTGTACTGTGTGACAGGGTCTGGGATGGGACCCTGTGGCTCCACAGTGCTTCTGAGGGGCTGACCCCCATGCTCACTCCTTCACAGAGCCCAACACGAAAGTCACTTCATTCACAGTTTTCCAGTCCAGACCTGCAATCTCTGCCCATACCCAGAGCAAAAGCAGCAAGATATTGTGACACCTTAGACCCTTCCCCTCTCTTTGAGGCTCAGTCTCCTGCTCTCAGCATCTCTCCTGTACTTCTGAAGTCCTTTTTCAATGCACAAAAGCCACAAGAGCATCCAGCAGAATTCAGGAATGTATTTTGCCACTCTACACACGCTCATTCAAGAGGTCATCTGGAACAGAAAGTTTTCTTCCCTGGCCCTGGGGATGGTGAGGGCATGCTTTGCTCTGCTCAGCAATGGCATCTCCTGGGTAAGCTCACCGATCAGGAGAGAGGCTGCAGCACAGCTAGAGATGCTGCCAGGCAGGGCCCTCCATACAAAGGAGTGCTGCTGAGAAGTCTTCACTTGCTGCTCAAGGATGAGAGTGTAAATCCAATGCACCAAACACAGTGGTCAGTATGCGATCCACCCTGAACAGTCACATGCTTCAGAGAAAAAGACACTTAAGAGGGCTTCAGAGATGACTCACTCTGGTTCTTAAATGAATACTACATCTATGGGCCAAACTCTATGGCCTTCTGGCTCCAGCTGATGATGATAACATCTCCACATCTGGGACTACATGCTAGTGACAGAAGGTCACTGTGAAATGGCTTCTCGGAAGAGGGGACACCTAAGTAAACCAGTTTCATGGGCTGAAGGCATGTGCTTCCACTTTTACCAGCCTAAAGAAAGAATCAGTATGTAATGTGCCAAACTCATCTCTCCCTTAACATCTTCAGTGTTATTATCTTGCTGTGTCCAGAGGCAACACCACAGGTTTTCATAGGCAACATGCAAAACAGAGTTTAGGGAGCTCTCAGCTGTGACAAGGGGAGAACTGAGCAAAAGTGGTTTGCCTCTCTGCTCTCCTTCCTCTTTTTTCTGCTCTTTTCTGAACCACCTAATTTAGGAAACAATTCTTAGCTATTGCTTTGACTATGGAGTTTCCAAGAACCCATATTGCCCACTGCTCTGCTTTTTAAAGGAGAGCTCCCTGTCCAGGAAGACAGTTTCCTGTCCTTGCCAAAAATCCTCAGTACTGTTTGGATTGTACCACTCTTCCTTGGAAATGTGGAGCAATTTTGATTCCTTGTAACAACTGTTACAGCATAAGGTTTTCTTTAGGTAAGCAGAGGAGAAGGAAGGATACAGCACTATAGAGAGAAATCCAGTTGTGTGGGAGACAAGAGTTCTCGCTAAATGAATGATCCAAGTGGGAGAGACAAGAGGTAACAGAGCACTTGCCTCCCTGCTGTGGCAATCATGGTGTTGGGCAGTTACTTTGCATCCCTTCCAACTCCTGACTTCTCCCTCTGCCTTGGGGAGCTGAGTTTCCTTCATAAGCAAGAACAACTTCTTTCTGTTCTCAGTTCTTTGCATTGGCCTAATCTCTGAGAAAGGGCTGAGGTTTTCCAGCTCTACCCCTCTTAGGCTCTCAAGCCTTGAGAGACATTGCAGTCACTATTTGACAGGAGCATCCATACTTCATGCCAAAGGATGCTGAGCCAAGTATGAGTCAAGCCTACTGCATGCATCTAGTACAGCAGAACAAGGATGGCTCATATACCTTGCCTGCAAAGCCCCCATTCCCTGTATACCAGTACTGTGACCCTTGAGGAATGTCTGAGGTCAATACACAGACATTAGCCTTTCCCTCCAATGTACTGTGGAATATCCCCTGTCCTGCAAGGCAACTTTCTACTGCTCTTCTGCAACATCTTAGGCTCATTCATTTCTGCTGCACCATCTCAGAGCTGCTGTACCCAGTGCTGTTCTGACCCCAAACCTTCCTAGAAATCTCTCATCCTGGTGGAAATATCTGTTGATGATGGGTCCAGTTCCATGGGGAATGATTTTTAGCAACCAACTTGGTTAGTTGCTAAGCCTAAATTAAACTCAGAGAAAGTAGATTTTTTGAGCTTACTCAGAAATACAGAGACTTCATCCTCAAGTGAAAGACAAGAGGAGTGAGAAACAACATATTTGAGTAAAAATTCAGGCTATTCACTTTCTACTTTATTTAGTAAAATAAATGGAAAAGTTCATGTGACATCAAGCAACCAATCCGTTTGTAGTGTCGGGAAAGGCTGACAGTGGATCCCAGCATATCACCAAAAGCCAAGAGAATGAGGGAAACAGATCCCTGGGAACTACTAGCTTTACCTCTGATATTGCCATTTTGCCACGCCACTCTTCGCTCCAACAGAGTGGCATGGAAGGACACATTGCAAGGCAATACCAAAGGTACTGGAGTACTGAAAAGAAGTGAACTGGAGCCAACGAATGAGAAGAGATAAGAGATTTCTGGAGAGGATAGACAGCATATATATACATAGAATGGTGATGGGAATACATGACCAACTTGGTTCAGAAATTATCGAGCTGCAGGGTGAACTCTTAATACACCAGAAACAGATGATTCTGGGCACAGTCATCCTGTTGGCTGAGAAAGAATCAGAGTTCCTCATTGAGGGGCTTCTCAGATTCGTCTTCTTTCTAAAACACATTAGAGGCATGAAATCAGTTTTGATGTTACTTGGTTTCTCAGCATAGTGATAAAAGGAAAATAACTCAAATGCCTCCCTCTGCTGTCTATGCCACTGCCCTGCCTATCTCATTTCCACTTTACAACACAAAACCTCTGTGCTATAGGAAGATGAATTTTAACAGAGAAAACTCTTAACACTGAATGAACATGGAGATTAAATTGCCCTCTACCAGCAGAGACCTCTACTAGAGTCCTAAGCCCCCATCTATATACTCTGTTCTGTAGCCTTCCTGATAGATTTCATTCCTATCCGTGCCATTGTTGCTCTCACCCACTCTCATATGCGGCCATTCACCACCCCATTCTCAGCATCCAAAGGCACCCTTCACTTTGTCTCCCGAGCTGCTGTTCCTATATGATAGATGCTTCACAGAGACCTTCAGAGGTCAGTGAAGTCTTCTTGTTGTAGAGGAAGAAGGAGGCTCTGCAAAGATATCCATCTCTGTTCTGCCCTAGATCTAATGCTTTACTCATATTCAGGTGCAAATGTATGTGAAAGAGAAGGTGGCAGGGATGGGAAGGAGTTCAAGAAACTGAAGTCATCTTCTTCAAGAGCCTTGTGAACAACAGCATCATCCTACAAGATCCCAGTTTCCCATACAGGACCCACCTTCTTCATTCTTTGTACGAAACGATTACAGAAGTCCTGCACACGCTCAATGGAGATTTCATCCACAGTCATCACATCATGCTCATCATCTGGTGTGTGGAATACAGCCAGAGCTGGCAGCTGGGACTTCTTCAGCTGGAAATATGACACTACTGGTTCATTGCTCTTCAAATTGCTGTCTAACAGGATAAAGAGAATCTGTGATGGAAACAGGAAAGGAAACTTGAGAAAAACAGAAGATGAGAGAGAGAACAGATCCCCAAACAGTGATCATATGAAGATTAACAGTGATTTCTTTATAAAGAGTTTGAGAAGACTGTCTCTGTTAGAACAACACTTTCCTCTGCCACAATCTAGCAGCTCCATGCAGTGCATTTTTCTGTATTTTATCAAGTCCAGACTTACACTACCAACCAAAATGTCTTCTTTCACCTTCTTTAAAAATAGATCTGCAGTATGACAGGAAGGCAGTCTCCACTTCTATTCTCTTAATAGATAAGGAAACAAGATGTCCTATCTTAGCAGCACATGTCAAAAGAGCGGCAGAAAATCTTTTGGTGTGTGAAGAATCAAACAATTGCAAGAACGTGGGAGTGAAGTACAGGACAGCAAGGATAAGAAGATGAAAGTACCAAACACAAAAAATGTATTTAAGTTAGCTGCAGTGAACATAAATGATGATGCAATCATTTGGGAAACAGAAGTTGCTGGCAAGACACCAACGTCCATACAGCCCAACTCAGTGAAGGGTTATTCAGACTTGGGGAGAGAAGCCCAGTAATGAATAAGCCAGGATGAGAATGACCTACAGTTTTCTGTGCTCTCAGATAGTCTTGGAGAACAAGATCAAGCCAAGGATTAGGATTATTCTGGGATAATTCAATAGTACAAATTTATCATAATTGGTGACCAACTCCATGATTTCAGTTTAAAAGCTAAGTTTCAGCCTAGATTGTAGAGGTGCAGTAGGAATTAGCACAAACTTAAGATTCTGGAATCTGAAATATTACCAATAAAATATACAGCTATCTCAAAAATCTTTGCTAAATTATCTGTTAATGCTAAATACAAAAATTATGTATAAATTTTATAAAAGAAAATAAATACATCAATGAAACAATTTAATCAGTGACCTGATTAAACAGCATCCCTCAGCAGTTGAGATCCAAATCAATGAAATAAACACCCAGCTAGCATGTGTCATTTTATCTCCTTTTTATCCTGTGCAGTCTATTTGGCTAGCATATTCAATGTACTTTTGGACAAAGCTATGACTTAATCAACACAAGAAAAAAGGAGAGTTTAATAAAAGAAAAGAATTGTAATGTGAAGATGATGTATCTAATTCCCAGGCTGTGACTCATGGTTTTCTATCATTTCAATGAAGAACACTCAAGTTAGTTCAAAACTTGTTTTCTTCTCTAAAAATAAACTTGGTAAATCTCCAGTTCTTTATTTTATTAAATTTATGTTCTATAAAAAACCGAAATAAATCTGGAAACTTTCCTAGGCAACAGCCTATGGAAAGGAAGGACAGTTAGGATGCTGTATGGTTTAACTGCAGTTATACAGAGAGATACAGAAACAGGAACAATATTTGCACTGGATATGTGACATTTACCACTTGCAATTTCTCTTCCAAAAGCCAACTGTGCCCCAAGGGAAACAAGTTAGTGATCAGACAGGTTGTGGGGAACTTCTCTCAGAGTGTTTAATTCATCTTTTTTGCAGGATAAAACACCAAGCTAAAGAATGGTCACAAATTTGAGGTTCACAGGTCTAAGGATCTGACCTAAGTGGCTTTCAGATGGAACAGCAATACTTAATGTTTTAGAGCTCTCCTTCCAACCAGCAAGCTGGAAACAGAAGCTATTGCTGGAGAGGAAGCATTTTCAGGGGATTGTTACAGGAAATGGTACCACGTTTTCATCAGTTTATTCACAAACTTTTGGTTTTCTCTATGAAAGATTCACCAGACAACTGTATTTTTTCAATCAAATGTTAAACAAGAGGTTATTAAAAAAAAAGGCATTTAGAATACTTAGGTTCATAAATGGTGTAATTTTCTATACAAAACCTCCTTCACTTTAAAACAGATGAATAACATTTTAAAATGGCAATATAAATAAATGTTAGTCAATATTCTTCACTTTATCAAGCTTCCAGTCTTTGTTAAAGACCCCAAAAACTAAAAAGCTGTACACATTTTATCCATGAATACAAAAAATAGAGTAAGAATAAAAGAATAAAAAGGTTGGGGTTTAGAATTTCAAATACCTTCTTCCTTACAGAAGCAAATGGAAACACGCAAACTGAGAAATTTATTTTATTCTGAGATTCCCATCCAGCTCTATTCATAAAGAATAAATGCAGTGATCATGGAAAATTATAATGACCATGAGACAAGATTCATATTGTCCAACCTCTGCCATCCAGATCCTAGTCTTGTCTCAGTCAGCCATCTAAGTAACCTCTACAATAAACAGTGACAAGCACTTTATTCCACCTATTTTAGAAGGGAAGATATGGCTGTCCTTCTCAATCAGTGCTGAAAAGAGCCTAAAACCTTTACTCAGGCGACTCACCAAAGCTATAATTCACCAAAACAAATACCACTTATAATGGCAACTCTCTTAACATTGCTAGAAACCAGTTAGTTCCATCCCAAACAGAAAGTTCACTTTCCATTTCATACTCTCCTGTATAATAATTGGTTGAATTTTTTCATTCTGAAATTATTTCCATGAAATTGTTTCATTTTGTGGCAAACTTCTTGCCTTATTTCAGAGGTCTCCTGCTACAGGCAGTGATGGATATCCTTCATGGATGACGAACTCCTGATACAAACTCTCTACTCCACACATGATATTATCTGTGCACTGTCATCTGCAATAAGCTCTCTTTCAGAAAATTTGTACACTGATGTTGCTTTGGTGCGTTGACAACTTGATTCCTAGCCCAGTGCTTTTAGAACATCGAGTTCCTAGTAAATACTAAGATATGGAATGATGTTATTGCCCAAGGAATTAAAGTTAATTGAAAATAGCACTGCAGTGGTAATAACCAATCTAACATTGCTTAGTTTTTTCTAACAAAGACAAACAGGAAGGATGATCAAGCCTCATATCCAGTGTTTGACTTTGAACTTCAGAGAACTGCAGTCTTCATTCTTGGAGAAGACTGTATAAGCAAAAAGATCAAATTCTGAAGTTTGAATAATGTCTTACATAGCTTACAAACTACATCAAAGCAAAACTAAAACATCAGTCTTGAATAAAAAAAAAATGTAAAAACAACTTTACTGCAGATATCTTAAGTGACATAGAAAATCCATATTTACAGGCTCCTCTGTTTATGGCTAAAAGAGGCATCTCTAAATATTATCTCTCTCAGTTCTGGAGCCAGCAATGTCTGATAAGAAAAATAAAAAGTGTATGAATGACTGTCTGCAAGAGAAAGGGCATCATCCTTTCATTTCCATGGAAGAAGTCCTGAAGGACACTCAGGAGTTTCTCAGAACCCATTTCTAAATGGACCTACATACAAATTAAAAGGGAGTTTGCAAACATCTCTACCCAAAACATTTTCACATTGGAAACCAATTGCATCAGTTGCAGCAAAAGCTGCTTTTGTTATTCCCAACATCCCCTTATTGAAACTTCTGCCAATACCCATGAGATACACCAGCTGTAATTATCATGCTATATTCTGATCCTGTAGCAAGAAAACTGAAAATTATTATGCTAGTTTGGCCCAGCAATGCAAACCCTGACATTTCCTTTCCAGTAGAAAACCTGGACTCTTGGCAGTACTTTCTTAAATAAGTATGTATTTGATTGCAGTGGGATCCGTCCAAGAAGGCTGGTGGATTCACTCCTGCAGCTGCAGTGCTCTGAACTCTGTTCACTGTTATCCACCCACAATTGTTTCTCCAAGTCTGCTAGAAAACTACCATATTTCTTCTTATTGTTGTCAGCTTATGCTGGCTTAGTATCATCTACCATTTGCTTTTTCCTCTCCAGTATTTTATAGCACCCAGGTTCCACAATAAAATCTAGAGGAATCTAGACTGCCTTCAGGCCCTCACTGCTGCTCAGGGTGCAGTTCAGGCTGTTTTCAAATAACAGTTCTCACCATAAAGCCTCATGGATCTTCCAGCTGAAAATCTCAGCTTCCTCTCAGGCAAGAATGAGAAGATCATAAACCAGAGATGAAAGGACCATAATCCAGGAACTGGTAGGTGAATCACTTCTTCATGAGCCATGATTGGTTGGACTTGATGATCTTAAGAGTCTTTTCCAATCAAAATGATTCCATGATTCCCTGATTTTCTTCACTATTTGGGGTCAGCCACTCAGCAGCAGCAGTAGTTCCTCTTCACCTCTCCATCAATCCAAGCAACAAGTTTCTCTTTTCCCTCCCACTAGTGATAATAATGACAAGGAGTATTCTTCCATCAGATGGCAACAGAGATGTGTGATGGGATATGTGCCCCTTCTCCTGCTTGGGAACCCTCTTGAGGCTCCATTTGTGTTTTGCACTGGCCTGTAGAGAAATTGCAACACACACCAAGCATTCCCATCCTGTTCTGGCAGTCTGACTGTAAAGTGCTATACAGTGGTACATGCTCACAGGGAGCCTGAACAACCTCTCCACTCCACAGCAATGATTCCTTGCTCAAACTACTGACAGCACTAACCCTGCAGCACAAGCAAGCCTTCCACCACTATCCCACAGGATATGAATTATTCACTGGTAATCCCTAATAAAATTCAAGTCAATAATCTTGCATTAATTCTCAGACAATCTACAAGCCACAAAAAGGCAAAATCTACTCAATTCTTTACTTGTTTTGAAGTAAACCTCAGTTAACTTGGTAGTCCTGACAACAGACAACTCCATTTAGGAAAATTAGCTAGCAGAGATTATCATGGTATTATGCAGTGGCTGCTTCTGATACCCAAACTAATTCATGTCTTTCTACATAACAGAACAATGGAAACAAACCTAAATGGGCATATGACCCTGCTTACTCCTTGCTGTCCAAATCTAAAAGCCAAACAGAGGGATCATACCTCTCTTGCTGTTTTCTAAGAGGGCAGTTCAAAATACGGTTTACTCCTTAGAGTGCCATTCCTTCAGGAAAAACAACTTATTAGACTCTAAGTCTCTTCATCTCTGTGTCCTGCAGTAACACTGCAGTAAAGCAGAAATAATTAGTCAAATTCCCACATCTTTATTCTTTATATTTTACTCTGGCAAACTTCTAGATTGAGGTGGGAAACTTGCCTGCACGAATAAAAAAAAGTTAGATTTGGCTTGATGAAAATTCATAAACTATCTGGACTTCAGTACAACATTTTATCCAATGTTTTGTGAAGTATTTCTAGGAAAATTATTCCCCTTTTCTCAGATCTAGGCGTATCACATGAAAACTAGATGCAGCTGTATCAGCAAAGGATAGCAGTGCTAAACAGCAATTTGTTAGAAGACTTAGCTGCTTGGGGGAGACCTGTATCAGACTGCTGCTCATGAAGGACAGTGACAATAGCATTAATATAACACACATCTCACATGAGATGAATAGAATTTTTCAGATAAATGAGAGGATTTTTATCATACTCACCAAAGCAAAACCCTTCCAAAGGGACCTTTTGACTTTAATGCAAAGTTTCTGCCTAGTCTCTTGCCAATGGGTAAGGAAGATGGCAAGGTCCAAAGTAGTCCTGCCATAAACATGTCTCAAGACTTTTGGGAGTGCATGGTCCTGAGATGGCCCCAGAATTTGAAGGTGAGAATATACTTGATTTCTAATCTGCCCATTTCGTGCCAAAAAAAGAGGCATGCAGATGTTCTAGTTATCAAATCCCAACTCTTTCCAGCTCCACACTTCTCAGAGGAAGATCTCTGCCTGTCTCTCAGCTCAGTTGTCCCCACTGCTGTTATCTTCTGCCCACTCCCACCTTCCCCAAGCGCCTTCCTGTTGCTCTGAATTCTCCTTTGCTTGTCAGCTCATTCCTCTGTTCCTCAGACACAAATTCCCCCGGAATCCAGCTGCTTGGCAGAGAATCAGCCATGGGTTGATTTACCATTCAGGGAGCTCTGTACACAAGTGATGGGAACTAGGCAAAATTTCTCTCAAACACCCCATCTATCTCATCGCCTTAGTGTGCAAAATCCAAGAAACCCACTTCCAACTCCTTTAAAATAGCCATTTCCCCAGGATCCAACCAGAAGTCTAAGGATTAAGAAGCACTGACATTTTTTGCTATCTGGTCACTTATATAAGGCTCCTTGGCATCTTGTGTGCTGTATATACAAATTAACCTCTCACATCAGTGGAATGCAACTGCCGCCAGACTGAAGTAGAGCAGCTGTTTGTCATCAACCAGTACAAGGGAACAAAACTGGATCAGAAGCAATGAAACACACAATGTTCCACCAAGAGAGCAGAGGAGCAGGATAGAAAGGACACAAGGAGGCAAACTGGCAAAAGGTGAACAGAACCAACCCCTCCACTTAATTACCCAGATAATCTTCTTTTCCTTCTACTTGACCTTTGCTCTCATAATCCACAGAGGAGATTATGCCCTCCCCATTCATGGCAGAAATTACTGTATTTTTTTTCTCCCTAACAACCTCTCTTGGTCTCTGTTTGGACTCACCTTTCCCTTGAAGAGCTCTGCTGTCGCCCGAAACTTGCGCATTCGCTCAGGGTGCTTTGGGGACATCTTGTCTGTGATCAGGAGGAGGTTAAACTGGAGCGAACTCTGCATCACACCAATTGCTGTCTGCCCATCACAGAGAGAAAAACATACAGACAAGGAGGTTGAGAACATTCAATTTGTATTGGATGCAGTGTCAGAGGGACATCAGTCCTGCTGACTCGGCAGAGGTTTCTTTGCAAACCAACAGCACAAGCAGGACAGGTTTCTTCAAAGCAGGAGGGTTCCAGTCTGGGTTCTTTGTGGAAGCACTTAATCCCCTGATTTTGCTTATTCCTAAAATAAGTATCTGAAGACCACAAGGGTTCATCACTGTCCTCAAGATAGTTAGTGATTAGGTAGGGGGACTGCCTATATAAAGCAAGCTGAAGACTAGAGCAAGGATGTGGAGAGCAAAGGCCAGCAAACAGTGAATATAAGGGTGTTCTAAATCACTGAGGTCCAGCATCCAGATGAAATGGAAGCAAGAAAGTGGGAAGGATTTGCTGTGTCAAGGTTGGTGTCTCCCCTTACTTCCTTTCTTTAGTGTTAGGCTGTGCACAGGATGAGAATGAGTCCAGAGTTTCAGCAACCCCAGGGTTTGGGCATTCCAGAGTGCTGAGGGTTAAAATTGACTTGGCAGTCCCACAGTGAGAGAAGACCCGGAGCCAGCTGTCTCTCACTCCAGGCAAGGGCCAAGCAGGCAATCAATACACACTGGCCCTCTGTGAGGAGACAGGGCTGGCATTGCCCAAGAAGCCACCGCACCATCTCGATGAACTCACTCACTCGTCATCTCACTTCTCCTTCCGTCTGCTTCCTGCAGCCCTGCAGCCTCTCCCTCAAATTAAACACTAAAGGGGCCAGATCTGCTGCCTCCCCCGTGCCACCAAAACCACAGAGGCACAGACTGTACAGCTCCCGGCCAGCAGGAGCAGAAAGTTTCCACAGGCTCCAGGAGTAACAAGGAAGGGGTCAGGGAGTGCATGCTGGCAAAGGCAGTGCACTACAGAGCATCTAGTTTTTGGCAGACGAGATTCTTCTGTTAGCCTGATGTTTATCAGACATTTTGTATTCCTTCACTCCTCTGCTGGTGCACAGTTGAGGCAAGGGAGAGTAAAAGGGATGCAAACTAAGGCTGGAGAACATTAGGGAACCTCATGGGAGAGGACAAGGGGGAAGGTGAGGGTGAAGTCAGCCAGCACCAAGGGCCATGACAAGGCTGGGCTGACAGTGGATAGGGCTAGAGCAGCAGGTCCTCCAGCAGCTCCACACAAAGGTGTGCTTGTCCACACAACTTTGTGCAAGAGCAATCAGCAGAGCTCATCAATATGGTCAGGTCATATCTGACTCTCCTGGTAAGCCCACAGGGTAAGCATTGCCTAATAATGCCTCAAGTATGGAAGAAAAACAGTAAAGGCCCCAGAATGGGGAGTGAAACTCTTGGCACCACTTGGTGCAATCTGCGTGACCCCATCCTCTGCTGACCAGCAGCATTCTTGGATGCAAACAGCATGTGCACCTGGAAAAAATATTTACAAAAACCCAAGATACCTTAGGGGAGCTAGGAGGGCTTTGGGCCAGAGACGGCAGGAGGCACTGTTAATTGCAGCACCTTGATAGCATTCCAGAGTGTCTGGAGAAAAACCTCACAACTTGTGCACTGACAGTCAGGGTGGAGGGGACCAGCTGAACAGCTCATGACTTCTCGGTCAGGGACACAGCCTGGGTGCCAAACAGGACACCATGCAGTGAGAACCCAAAGCATCAGCAGAAACACATGAAGAAAGACTTATGATCTAATGAATTGCAAATGGATGCAATGGAGGTTCCAAAGGTTAAGAAGGCCTGGGCAATTATAAAGCTAAAAAGAACATCCCCCCTGACATAACCTGGGTGCTCTCAAAAGGCTGTGAGCAGAGTGGGGCATGATATACCTGTCCCCAGAAATATTCTGTTATTTTAAAATGCATTTTGCACATCGCTTATGAAGATGAGAAAGCAAATCCACTTCTTTGGGAGGTGTTTTTTCGTTTGTTTTTGTTTGTTTGTTTGTTTGTTTTGTTTGGGGTCTTTTTATTAAAGAAAAAAGACAAACTTCAACAGTATTTCATTGTGGAAATAAAAATTTTATATTTTCAAAAAAAAAAAAGCTCTCCTACTTGCGGGCTATGGCTGAAATGCATATTGTGTCAGTTCTCTTAGATCATCCTTGGGATCAACTTGAAAAGGTATAACTGAAACAGGTTGGGCCCTTCTCCTTTGATTAAAATGAGCCTGGTCAGCACTGTCGTAGCTATCCACAAGGCCACAAAATACCCCATCAGCAATGATAAATTCTCAGCCTTGCAGCTACTGGGGCTTCTAAGACCTATTGACTCCACAGCAGTTAGCCCAGTGAACTGCTGAGATTTCAGAGAAGCCTAAATCCTTGGTCAGCCTCTATAGCAGGGAAGAGCACTGTGACCCTGTCAGTGCCAGTCAGATGGGTCTGGCCAGTCAGATGGGTCTGGCCAGAGCCAGAGAAGATGGCCAACACGGAAGTATCCTAAGCCTGATTTGTGTGTGTGTGTGGGGGGGTTTGTTGTTGTTGTTATTATTGCTGAACAGATGAATTCTGGAGTAAGGGATGGAGGAGATGTGAAAAATTTTGCTTGGGAAGATCCCAACCTGCTCTTGAATATGCAGTCAAATATCTAGGCTTACAACAAACCCTGTCCAGTGAGTGATGAAGAAAAGTCTGCCTTCTGAGAGTGGGTCATTTGAGTTTCCATGTTTCTCGAGGCTTCTAAGCCAAAGAGAGGAGATTCTGGTTGAGGTGAGTCTGTAGGCATGGCACAACATGGCAAATGTCCATGTGAGGAAGCAGCACTGCCTGCAGGAGTGGTAAGGAATGGAGCTCTCTGCCCATCAACATCCCAAATTTACTGGAAAGCTAAAGGAACTGCCATGACTCCCTTCCTCTCCCACTCCACCCACACACCCCAGCAAAGCATCTGCTTCCAGGCCACGTATGGAGAAGCAGTGAAGAGCTGCATGGCTCCCTCAACCCCATCCACCCTTACACACATCTGGGTATGCAAATTCTTGGGCCCAGGGACACCCATGAGAAAGCCAAGTGCAAGGGTGAGGGCTGCAGGGAGCTGGTAATTACCACAGGGTTGTACTCTGTCACCAGGCGGAGCTCATTCACCCGAACGAAACGAGTCATCTTCTCAGTATCAACATCTTTGTTGTTCATATCCAGATCCCTCCGGTCATTGTCTACCTGAAGACATGCAAAGACACCTACAGTCACACCTGTTGTCTCATCTCAGCACCCCCTCCAGAGGCACTGATGGCACTCACTCACAGACGCACCCACCCTCTGGGACACCACCATCCTCTCTCCATTACAACATAATTCCCACCTCTCCCCACCACCACTTCTGGAGGTCTAGAACCTACAGAGGCCAGCCTGCACTTTAAGATCTTCCACCCTTTTCCAGTGTCCCATGTACAAGGCAAACTCATGGCATAGCAGAAATCACTTAGGAGTCCAGCCATCCCTACACTATCAGCTTCTGCTGCACTGGAAACAGGGAGGATTAGCTGACAAAATATTCTAGGCACTGTGGAAAGAGATCATTAAATAGCCTAACTCCTCACATAGATTTTGGCTTTACATTCCTTTTAAAAAGTCTTCGTCTGCTTATTCTGTTTCTTCTACAAGTAATAAACATTGGCATGGACCTGTATGGAATTCCTGGAAACATTGTGCAAGTAAGAAATCTCTCCAATAAAAAGAGGATTTTTCTTCCAGCACAGCAGGAAAAAAAAAATCAAGCCCAGCACATTTTAGCTTTAGAGGAAAATCCATCCTGCCACATATCTTCCCACACTCCTTTTCCCCAAAATGATGTGATTTTATTGAGGTTTTCATGACCTGGTAAACACAAAATAAGCAGGCAACCATTGAATGATAGCTAAACCATCTGAGTTTAGGGGCAGAGTTCCTGTGCAGTACCAGCACAGGATGTGACTGAGTTAAGTTATGGGGACACTGGGCCCTGGCATGAAATAGGATTAAAGTTTGGGATTTGATGGTCATTGATACATATGTTGAATGAGGTTCTTGGGGCTAAGGAGAGGCCCATATGCACACTCCAGATTTTATTCCCTGCATCTGTACAACGTCTGAAAGTGTTTGTGTTAGTTTTTCCTGTGGGGTGTAGACATCTAAAGTCATTTTTGCTGTTCTGTGGTCACTGGCAAGGTCTTTTATATTAATCACCCACCCTGTATGACAACCCAAGCTGGTGCTTTCCAGACTGTGTGGCCCAATTGCTCTCACAGATTTTCCTTCTGCATAACATGAAACAGTAGTTCTGCTCAAGTAAGTAAGATCAGGACAACGCAACACCTGGGCAGATGAGATCAGACAGGCCTTGGGAACCAATCTAAAGCACCCTGGACTCTACAGAAAGTCTTCTCTTGACTTTCATGGGCTTCTGAAAACACCTGATTTCCATTTTGGGATAATAACATCTTGAATCTGCACCCAACATTTATGTTCTTAAGAAAATAAGGATGGAAAATAGCCTGCATCTAATACTTGTAAGTCAAAAGTTGTAAGTCATAAGCTGTAGTCAAAATGTCTTTATCACTCCATATAATTAGGTTGTTAGCATCTGTTCTTTTTAGGTCCATCAGGCCAGATTCCTCACGAGAATGAATCAGTTTCTTTACACTATATGCAGAGAAGTCTCACCAGTTGACAGCAGTCCCTCCTACTACTGTAATTATGACTTAAACTTCTAAGCATTACAAGTGTTTCATACTCTGCAAAAAGCAAAGAAAAAATTAATTTACGCCTCTGATTCACTTCTATCCTGGTCACGCACCTTTGTATTCTTCAAATGAGTATTTGATTCCAAGTTCCTGTATCAGTTCTTTTAAAATTCCTTTTTATCTCTGACCGCTAACTCCTACACATTATCCAGCACAGGATGAAATGAAAAATAATGTGTCTGATAATTTAAGAAAAATTGACAATCAGACAAGTGAACTGTCAACCACATTTAAACCTGACTAGTGTATTATTTTCCTGGCTGTTTTTTTTTCTATTAAACAAGAGTTCAGTCACAAAACCTGGATTCCAAACAAAGAATATTCAATATAATCCAAATTCCAAGAGTCCAAACACTTTCTTTTATCAAACACTCTTCCAATGCAGTCATCCTCACTATCTGCCACAGCACGAAAACAAAGGATGTTTTCAGTACTTTTGGAAGAAAACCACCATGACTAAAAACCAAAATTGAAAAGGGTGTTGCTTAGAAATTGCAACATCTACACACAATAAATAAACGGTTAAATAAAAGGACCTGCCTACTTATTGCTCACTCTTAGATCATTCTTTTTGAATTATTTGGATAATGTCAGTGGTAAACACAGTGCAGGAAACAATGCGAAAGAACAGAGAACAAACTGTCCAATCTTTGTACAACCTAGATCTAGAACTTGGCCAAGCTGACATATTTAGTTTCCCTAGAACATGTAGTGTGTCCCCATTTCTCCTCACCCCATGCAGTTAGAGCTCTGGTGACACAACACTTCACTGGCTCTTAGGACATCTTGTGCTACCTGGGGCTCCTTTGCTCTTCAGATATACCTACCTCTCCTCAAGTGCCATGCTTGTGTGAAAAGGGGCAACACAAGGAAATTGATATAAGCAGTAGAACATTTGCTCTTAGCTTTTCTTGGTATTATTGAAGCAAGTACGTGGCCATTTCCAGTATCATCTCCTTAAATTTCAGCAAACATAGCTACAGTGAAGCACCAGCACGTACAATGGGGTCAACAAAAATTTGATCTCGCACAGTCTCCATACCTAAGAAACTCTAAAGTAACATTTCTAATGGGTCCATGACCAAAGCTTATTTAGAGAATAAGTCTGCAAACCACAGTGAGGAGACAGAAAAGAGCATTTGGGATTTGTTTTGGTGGCAGAGCATCTGTAACTGCAGAGACCCAGCTGGATCTGTTTTCAGTCATGATGGAAAAGTTTTGTATGCTGGGAGACAGCTTTGCCTGCCTGAAGTGACACTTGGCAAGATTTGATATCAAGCCTGCTGTGTTGATCCATTGTAACATGGACTTTTCATGTGTCTCAGGACCCTTTCCAAAACTACAGAAAGCCCATCCGAGTTAATGCCGAGCTCCAGGCAGGTCATGCAGAAACACAGACGTTGCTCTTTGCAGAGCACTGGGTGCTGAACCAGATCCATAGGGCAAACACTTAAAAAGGCGAATCTCATCAAATGTGATAAATGCTCCGTGTCTCAGTGACGGGCACTCTGCAAACAAAAAGCAAAAGCCTTCTTTGGGGCAGGAAGCTATACCGATGTGCTTTGAGGTGGGCAGGCAGCCTGACTGCCAACGACAAGCCTTTATTTGGCTTGCTTTAAGGAGAGGCGAGCAGCTTCAATGTTTTTTACCACTGCTTCCCAGAGATCTCCCTTCTGTGCCGTGACTGCGGGCACCTTGAAAGTGCTTGTCCTAGAGTCCCTCTCACCCACCCCAACGTGAGGGGGCCCAAAATCAAAGTGCTCATGCTGAGAAAGTTTTTTTGCCTGGCAGCGTGTTCCCCGGGAGCTGCTCGAGGTTGTGTGTGCCCCCCACCCCACGCCACGCCGCGGTGCCCACGCACCCTGCGGAACAGCGTGACGGTGTTCGCCGAGACGCCGTAGTGGGACAGGACGGCGGGGCTGGTGCTGAGGCCGAAGGGCACCTCCGGGATCCGGCCGGCCGTCAGGCGAAACTGGGACGCTTCGGCGCTCTCCGGTTCCTGCGGAAGCAGAGGGAGGGCAGTGAAGGGCCGGGCGGTGACGAGCGGAGCCCCCGCGGGTCCCCCCCCGACCCCGCCGCCCGCCCGGGGCGGCGCGAGGGCGACCCCTGCCGCCCGCCGCGGGCACAACGGCCCGGAGCGGCCCCCGCGTCCTGCGCGGCCGGCGGGGTGCGGGGTCCGCGCACAGCCCCTGCCCCGCCGGCCCCCGTCCGCACTCTGCCAGGGCCGTCAGCAGGCGGCGGTGCCAAGCGCCCCTTCCGTCCCAACCTACAGCCTGCAGTTAATTATGGCAGGATGTGCACCCTGCCCTGCGTTCCTCCCAAACCTCGCTGCCCACACTCATGGTGAACGCACCAAGATGGTGAAGAGCCCTTGGGCTCTCAAAAGGAATGGAACAAACCCAGCATCTGGATGTAGGACATTTAATTATGTGTGTGTGTGTGTGTAAAATAAATATATAACCCCCACAATTTTTAAGCTAACCTTGATTCTAGAGTCAGGGGTTTACAATTTTTTGAACGCCTTGCATTATCAGTATCCTGTCTCCTTTTAAAAAGATATCTTAAATATATCCTTTCAAAAGTAGCTAATTCAGGCTAATTCAGCTAATATCAAAGGATAGAAATGTGCAATTTCTCAGCAATTTGAGGTCCATTCTCTTTCTTGCAGCAAGAACATTAACTACAGCCCTAGCCTATATTAAAGCCTCCCTTGCTATTCCCCTTCCCAACTTTTCAGTGATATATTTCTGTTATTGGATATAAATTCTGAAGACATGGTCTCTGCTTGGAAATTGGTTTGTTTTTCTTTTTAGTTTGAACTGTCAGCTCAGCTGTTTGTGAGCCCAGAGTGAATGGAAAACAAAATTCTTTGTTCATTCCAAAGAAAGTCATCTCTCCCGACCTGTTTTGGAAATGCCAGAACATCAACATTGCTCTGGTAAGAGCACTAAAGCCTAGGGTGGGAATAATCTCACAGAGTTTTGGAGCATTCCTGGGAAAGCTGGGGTTTAATCAGGCCAAGCATGGCCCTTTCTCGCAGACATGCAGGGTTTCTGGAGCAGTGCGCTGTTTTTCCACCATGGCATGCTGTTCCCAGTCAGGGAGGCCATGCTCATTATACGGGAAGCTTGCCGAGCCGCGTACTGCAGTGAATTGAAAGGCTGCATTAGAGAAATAATTTATGGTGAACAGAGAACATGGACATTATTTGGATGAATATACTCTCAGGCAGAGGGCCAAGCCCTCATGGTACACATACGTCTTTATCTACTGTTCAAATGCAGCCCTGTCTTCAGGCATTGAATGCCTGACACGTCGCTGGCGGCTGCAACCTCGTGCTCCTGGCAGCTGGGGCCACACGGCAGCAGCCTCCTGTCTGGCTCTGAAGAATGAAACCCTGCAGCGGGAGGGAGGTCACTGTGGCACAAGACAAAAGAAGCCATGTCCCTGCTGTAGCTCAGGAGGAGGCTCTGGGTACAGCCCTGCCACAAGCCCAGCCATCTACCCTGGGGGAAGTAGGCGTCTCAGCACTTTCATTCTGCGTGTGTAGATTGCCTCGCTGGTTTGCACAGCTTTAGCGCTGCAAGAGCAACCCCCGAGAAGCTCCAAATGCCTGCAGGCACTGAACTAAAGGCTGGTGCTCTGTGATCAGTGCTTATAAGGCCCATGGGGCATAAGCCTCCAGCACTCACAGACTTGCTGCTTACAGTGCACAGGCAGCACCATTGGTCCTCACTCTGTGCTGGGATGTGAGATGTCAGTGCGCTATTCCGAGGGCATGATGCCCTCCCTAGCTGCCCTCCAGCCCAGAGCTGTCCTCTGGCACAAGACAGAAATAGGAAGGTGCTTGCAGAAGTAGTTGTTTTTGAAAGCCTGAATTCTTCTCTGACATGAGGCAGTGTGTGGGCAGCAGAAGAGTAGAGCTCAAAGAAAAGGCAGAAAAAGGTGCAATTTGAGGACCTTAAAAGTAATAAGTATCCTGTCAAAGAGGCCTCTGTTTTAGAGTGCTCTAACTCAATAAATATTTTTGTCCTATTTCCTGAGGAAAAATATGCATGCCCAGGGGGCAAGGGGCTTGTACCCATCACTCACTTTTGAATTCAATTGAATTTAGATAAAAAAAGAGAGACCTCAAGGATATCAACTCTGGGAACCAAGCAGTGAGACAAAGACCATGCCTACAGCCTCCCTAGGAGGACGCTACAGCCTAAGCCCAAGCCATCTTGGACTTCAGAGGACCCTCACCAGCACTGCTCCAAGACAGCTTCCTAAGCCCCATCACACAGGCAGTGCCTCACTCTGTCTTTGCTGACTACAGCAAAAAACTGACATTCCCACTCACCCCTCACTAACACTGTTTCTATGCTACCCACATTCTTGCTTTGCTTCCCCTGCAGCATTTCCCTTTCTCCTGCTCCAAGGCTCGTACAACCTCGTTCACCTTCCTCCCTTGCTCCATCTCCCTTTCCACACAGAGACTGAATTCCCTGTATTCCCTTTGTGACATGTCACCTAATCCCTCCACATGCCTGTCACTGCTCCAGCACCTTTCGGGACAATAGCTGCCTTTGGCAGGTGTTCACACCACATCCAGCCCCAGATTGTCATCAGTGTGGGGTAGGGATCACAACTGGCAGAGGGGAGGTGCTGTGAACACACCTGGAAGAATCCGATGACCGCCACCTCTGCACCACTGACAAAGGCTTCAGCATCTGCAATGTTGTTTAACAGGATAGGTTTCTCTGTGGTGCTGGCTGTGCCTGGAGAGGAAAGATCAGGGTTGGGCAGAGGGTACACAAAGAGCAGCTCGAAGAGGCTCCCCCAACATACACACAAGCATCCCGACCTTACAAGCTCACCTGAATGCCTCTCCTGCAAGCTCAACACAATGTTTGTGCAGCATACCTTGGATAAGGAGGACTCCTTGCAGCAGACCCAGTGTTTCCCTGAGCCTGGAAGAAAGCTCACTTACTGTGGGATGCAGAGTCAACATCTCCAGCACATCCAGATGGGGAGCATCTGATAAGTAGGATAACAAAGAGACACGGGAAGACAGATGCGCCCATGGTACCAGCTTGCCTTCTCCTCGCCATGCCACCCGCTCCAGTCCTCTCCTTGGCAAGAGACACGTCAGCTGCTACGGGGGCCCACAGCCACTCCTGGGGTTAGTGGGAAAGGAGCAGCTGGCCCAGGGCAAAGCCTTCAGCTCCTGGGATAACCATCGGGCTGGAGAAAGCCCCTCCCTGCTGTGTGGGCACCAGCCTTGGAGAGTTTCACTGGCACTGCCACTAGTACGTCCTCATCCACAGCGCTGGACATCTCGGCTGCCCCACACCTTCGTGACCAGACACCCCAGCTGGGTAAGAACATCCCTCTCCAAGTGCTGCGTCCCAGCAGGCCGGCCACAGGGACTTGGAGCTCTTGCATTAGCCCTGGGGAACAGCTGCTACGGTAGGTGTTAAACATAAGAAGGCTATTTTATAGCTCCCTGGCTCATTCAGTTGCCATCTGGGATGAGAGGTGGAGACTGTCTAACCCTGAAGTCTACTCCCTATCACAGCCCAGACTTTGGGCTTCAAAGGATTCATGAAATCCGTGAAGGAAACAGTTCTGAAATAATTTGCTTACAGAGTAAGGCTGATGTTTTGAAGGAGGAGGGCTATTTCCCTGCTGAAATATGCTCTTAAGCCTTCCTGTAATGCATTCTTCACATACATATAACTGAAAAACATACTCCAGAAAAGAAGTGACACTCACACAAAAAAGAAGAAAGAAACTGGTTTTATTCTTGGGACACCAAAGTCTTATTACAGCAACTAGCTGCATTCCCCCGACTGGTTTTGCCTGCACAAGGATGGATTTTAACAGGGTAGGGCACCAGATACAGACCAGGAGACCATCACGGGAGGTAAGTAACCATTTACAATGAGTCAGAGCAAAATGGCAAGTGTAACTCAAGATAGGGATTTTCCAGGGACCAGTCTGCCCTGCCAGGTGATCTTGTTTCCTAGAAAAGGCACTTCCGGGACTGGAGTTGGTACAGGAGGGATGGTGGCAACAGGAGGAAGTATTGGGAGAGAGGGAGGGAGATGCTTCCCAATTTAACCCATTATGTGTCACGATGGGGCAGTGGTGAGAACGGTTGGGTTGTTTTCAGTGTATCAGAAGAAGCAGCAAAGGCCGCCTGCAGGGCTGTGCATCCACCAAGGCTGGCACAGAGCTCCAGCACTCATGTGAAGGGCTGCCAGGGCTGTGGCCAGCCATGGTGGCAGGAAGGAGCAGCGTGGTGGGCACGGCCCACCTGGAGACTGGTGCAGGAGGCAAGGGGACAGGAAGGGGGAAGGCAAACTGGGTGAACTCATTCTGTCCATTCCTTCTTGATGGACAGGTTCCACTCCCAGGTAAGATGGTCATGCTTGTCATCATCCGTGAAGAAGGATTTGTTGTGATAGGTGCCTCGAGCCAGCATACCCTTAGGAGCCTCTTCAATAGGTGTCAGGAACTCGTACTCCTCTGGCCGTGGCCCATAGCTGCCAACCATGAATGTGGCTTTGTCCACTAGGAGAAAACAATCCACAGCAGATGAGTCCCTCAGATGGGGAATGGTAAAGAGAGAAGAAGCCATGAGCATAAGTGCAGATCACAGACTGCACAGATGGGAGAGAAAGGGACAGTCCACGTCAGCAAAGGGGAGCAGAATTGGTGGAAACGGTGAGTTAGTGAAGCGTAAGGACAGCTAGAAGGATAAGACGGGTGGACGGGCAGGTGAACAGGCAACTCAGTCTATACCCTGTCACATCTATATGTTGCTAGAAGGGAGTGACTACACACAGCATATAGCTCAAGGTCTACCTTGATTCCCCATTACTTCTCTTTCCTGATGAGAAGACACCACTTACTTATGTGTGCTGAACAGGATGCTAAAGCCTTAGAGGTGGTTGCATGCAAAAATGCCTGTGGGATGTGTGTGTGCAAAATGGGCTTTCCTCTGCCTTGTCCGAGCAGACCAGCACTGTATGAAGTGGAGAACCCACCAGCAAATACAGGACCCTACACACAGCGGGAAGCTTTGTAGAGCAGGTCTGAATTTTACCAAGTGCTTCTGAAGAGCTTTCAGGGGATGGGAAGCTTCACACAGGTTGAGCCACTCTATAAGGGGAGGAGGGGAGGTGGAGGGGAGGTGAAGAGCTCGTATGGAGAAGAAATCTGTGGCAAGCACTGCCTAAGCAGAGTCCCTGCAGACTTTGCTGCTGCAGACAGTTTAGCACACAGACAGCAGAGCTGGCTCATACTGAGTTCACACGGGACAAGAAACAATTGTCCTGGGCAATAGAGGCTTATGCATACTGCTGAGAAGTCACCTCCTGCATGGCAGTGCAGGGAGGGACTTGGGACCAAAGGAGCCTCTGTCCCAGCCAAGAGCTGCAGGAACACTTCTTTGAGCAGAGGGAACATAGAGGTAGGAGCACTGGTGTGCAGGGCACGAAGGACTCTTACTCACCCTTCACCCCTGTCCGGTAGGTGTGCTGCACATATTTCAGTCCTGACACAATGTCCCTGTTTACCTGAAAGAAATGACCAGAAGTAAGTGTCAGGAGAAGGGTTTTGGTTCTGCATCTGCTGATTTTCTCTCTCATTAGAGACATACCCATCTTGACTCCCTATAGCAAGGAGGCTCAGAATAGGACACATTGTAGAGAGCACTAATACAACTTTTCCATAGGCACCTGGAGACCAACAGCATCCTCCGTGCATCTCCTGCACTTCTCCATCCTTTGCCTGACTTTGAAGCTGACTGCAGCATATCAGTCATGTTCTCAAGACAGGCTGATGAGGACAAAGAAAAATGAAGCAGGGAGTTCCCAGTTAACAATTTTCATATTGAAAACCATACATGGGTAACTAGTCATCCCTCCAATACAAATGGGTGGGCAAGATTAGCTGAGCACTGCCAGCTGTCCTCTAAGCTCCATGGGGAGCTGGCAAGCTTCTCCTCAAGAGACAGAGGGACAGAGTTTTGTTCATAATCGTTCCTCAAATCTCCCATCAAGAGCTTGGATGTATCCCTTGCTGTTCCCTTCCAGCATACACTGCCTTCTTGCAGTGTACACTACTTAATCTGGAAACAAGATGGACAGATCCTTTTATATCACAGGGGAGAATTCACATGATGCCAGCTCTTACCAGCCATGGGACTGAGGGAGAGAGTTAGAATAACCTGTCTGGCTCCAGATATCTCCTGTCAACGGGGCTCAGATACAGATGGAAACATTTCATAGCAAAAAGAGAGGTGGAGGTGTCTCGGGGGACAGCATCAGAGGACATTCATCTCTGAGAGAGCAAACCTCGGAGAAGAAGGGAAATCTGCCCTACAAAACCCAAAATATTAACACCTTCCCTTGTCTGCCTCAGGAGAACTACCTTCCTTCCATTTTTGCCTTCTCTGCCAAGCCTAGCCTTGTCTGAAGCAAACATTTGTGGTGATGATCAGTTCAGTGCTGGATGCCACGCTGCAGTGTGGCCAAGTTTTGTTTTCAGCTGTAAACAGAAGAAATGGCTGACACACTGGTTAATAAGAAAGAGGGAGAAATGAGCCCTTTTGGGTATAGCATGACTCAGAAGAACTCAGCTATCTTCAGCCAGATGTTACAATATTAAAAATCCTTTTAATGTGTACATTAAGCCCAGTAATACTGACTGAATCAGTACTTCATGAAAAGCCATTATCTCTTGTCTTCTTCTCCCTGTCTGTTTCCACTTTGTGTGAAGTAAAGGTTTTCTGGTGGCTAAAAAGCCAAACCAAACTCAGTCAAAACTACCCATCTGGCTTTCAAACCACTTATTGTTCATCAGTGTGAGTGGACAGAAATCAAATTCCTCCAAGGGGCGAGCAAACAGAAATAATTCCCTGGAAATAGCTGTTCCTTTGTTGGGTAGAACAACACCTGAAGCTAGGGAAGCTTTACAAGGGCCCAGCTATTGGGAAGGTATGCTGCGTGGCACTAGTTATCTGACAGACTGCTGCTGACTGGCTTCAGCAACTGATGAGAAGCAACAGGAAGGAAAACAACTTACTCTGAAGTGGATTTTAACTCTGTATTCCACTCCTTCCTTTAATATAAAGGTCTCTTTCTTGAGTGCTTCAATGTCACCTGTAAGGAGAGGATCAAGCCATTAGAGTTGTCACAGTAAGGAGAGACCATGCATGGGAGGGAGGATGGGGCTGGGATTGGTGTTGGAGGTCAGCATCTGTTTGAAGGTTGGCAACACCTGCAAAATGAGTACATGGAGGTCTGTATAAGCAACTGCACCATGAGACCAAATACACAGAAATGCCTGGCTGTACATATGTGTCTGTGCCCACATCTGTGAAGATAATGCCTAAACTAACACAGGTCTGGGCACATATACATAAAGATGTTTATGCATAGACTTGTTGTTGGGCACCTCCAGGAGTGT